TTACATTCTACTACTTACTTCAAAAAATTCTCCTCCCTCCTTTTTTCAGTCTAGAAGAATCTCCCTTTCTTGAACTTTTACCTTATTACTTGTGCAACTGATTATATACCAACAGCATTATCAAATTGCTCCTGTTTAGCACCCTTATTTTCCCAACAAGATCATTGCTGATAGATATTGCTGGCTATGACTCATAGTGACCCTATGAACCTTGCCTATTCTCACAGTCTCTGATGTGCTCAAGCCCATTGTTCCAGTCACTATCAATCTACTGTCAATCTAGTTTAGGATCTTCCCCTGATCTTTACCTTTACCAGCACAATGTCTTTTACCAAGAACTAGTTCTTGTGGCAACATACCGGAAGTATATGTGTTGAAATTTCATCATCTTTGCCTCTAATGAGCCCCTTAGTTGCAATTCCTCTAAGACAGACTTGTTCCAAAAAGATTGGAACCCTCAACATATTAGCAAGATTCATGTCTCCACAAATATTTCTAACTTAATTTGCTCTAAAGAGAATATTTAATTGCCCTCCTTTCACAACTGCTTTTCATTTTTCAAATGGAACCACCGAAAGGAAATTTAACAAGCCTTTCTTGATTCCCTTTCATATACACATCTAATCAATTTCCAAGTCACATCAGAACTGTTTCCCAAATATCTACTGACTTTCAAAAAAATCCTTCAAATTCACCCATGGCTCGTCTACCTCTTCTACTTCAGTGCTATCACTTTAGCCTAGACTGTCATCTCTAAGACTACAGCTTTTATCTAGCCCTGCCCTCTACTCTACATTTCTTAAGGAGCAGTCAGAGAGATCTTAATATTCAGATCAGATCACGCCAATTTCTATTAAAAATCTTTTTTGCTTGTCATACTTAGAATTAAAACAAAATTCTTTACCTCTAGCCCCCTATATATCTCAACTTTTGCTCTTTCTTTCTCCCTTACTGTGCACCACCAGCTGCACTTGGTTCAGGTCTTTGCATGCCAGGTTTTTTTTTGCTCTATCTTAGGGACTTTACACTTGCTATTTTCTCTGCTTGCAATGCTCTTCAAATTACTGTTTCCTTTTCAACCTTCAGACTCTAGCTTAAATGTCATTTCCTCAAAAAGGATTTTCCTGACACTCGTTTTAGAAAAGGTTTCAGAATGTCTCATATATGTTTTGCATATAGCAGGGACTTAACACATTCTTTCCAATTTAATTTTATCATTGAATTACTTAATTTTTTGCTGCTTTGCTGGTTCAATTTTAGCTGCTGATTTAGTGGTTCAAATGCCGACCTGGCATCTGATTGGGTTTGGGTTAGGTTCTTTCTATTAAAAAAAATTCTATCCTTAATAATATAGTTTATAATTACTGACTTATGGTTATATATGTCTCTTTTTATCTGCCTATACAGGTATAATCAAGACTATGTCAATATATTAATATGTGAAAGGATAAGATTATGTACTTGCAATAACTTTATTCACTGCAAAGCATAGTCTCTCAGTTTAAGTTCTATGTGGCACTATCTTTAAGATATTATAGCTAAATATAAGGGAATTTCCCCAAAGATTTAAAAATTAATGCATTTCATTAATGGACACATTAACTTTTTGGAATGCAGATGAAGTAGTCAAATGTCCACTCTCATACTGCTCACATGCAGGGACCTCTTTAGAGTACTGAAAGGCAATGGTGTCAGTCTAGAGACTAAGGTACGTCTAATCCAGGCCATGGTCTTTGCAATTACTTGCTATGCATCAGAGAGCCGGACAATGACTAAGGATGACAGATGAAGAATTGATGTCTTCGAATTGTGCTGGAGAAGAGTCTTGAACATAACATTGGACTGTCAAGAAAACAAATAGATCTGTTGCGGAGAGGGTGAAACCAAGTTTCTCCTTGGAGGCTAGAATTATGAAGCTCTGTCTCACCTACTTTGGGCATGTGGCCAGAAAAGATGGGTTCTTGGAGAAGGACATGATGCTTGGAAGAGTGGAGGGACAGCACAAGAGAGGAAGATCCAGGGTGAAATGGGAGACAAGATGGATTGATACAGTAAATGGGGCAAGCGGTTGGCGTGTCAGAATTAGTGAGACTGGCTCAGAAAGGGCAGGGTTCAGAGCTGAGCTGCTGTACACAGGGTCCCTATGGGTCGCAAATGACTCGAAGGCACATAACAACAACAACATCTATTATCACTAAAGCTACTTTTTTAGTCATTTAACACACTCTTCCAGAGTACAACACCTTCAATTCCAAATTATGTGAACTATGCTATTCTTTGTACACATTTTAGATGTTGTGCTCAGTTATCTTATCCCAAGCTGGACATTTTATCTCAAGCTACAGGAAACTTTGTGGTGTTGTCCCTAATACGCTGTGCTTCTAATTAAGCTACTGAATGTCTCTTTATTGGTTCTAAATCACAAGCAGCTCTGGGAAAAAGATGGGCGGTATCCTTCTATCACTGCTTATCAAAGTGATTTTAAAAGCTTGTTTAAACTTCATGCAACAGTTCTAAGTATTGTCACAGAAATAATAGTTAAATCTCTATGGCTTTGCCTTTTCATGAAAAACCAATTTCATCAGGTGACTTCTCCAAATGTGTCTTCTCCAAACAGTTACCATTAAAAAGAAAAGAAATGCTAGACCTTCTATGTGGGACCAGACATCTGTGGGGCATATACACTGTAGCAGACTGTTTTGGCCAAGTTAAAACTTAAAAGAACAAAAAAAAAAAAAAAAACCCCAGAAAAACATTTGCTCATCTTTCCTCTCATCTCTTTCCCCTATGTCAAGAGAATTCTGATGGCCCCAGGGGTAAGGAGGTGCACTGCTAAACCAAAGACATAAAGTTCGAATCCACCAGGTTCTTGGTGAGAGAAAAAGGGGCAATCTCCTGTCATGAGATTTAGTCTTTGAAAACTCACTGAAAGGTCTGGTATGAGTCAGTTCCAATACGACAGCACTTAACAAGAAGTAGTACTACAAACCAGGAGAAGGCATTCTAAGAAAGGAAAGGGTAATTTCCCCACTTGCTTCCTTTTCTTCCGAAATACATGCAAATGGTTATTAAACTTTAAAAAATACTTATAAAAACAAATCCCATTATTCTTTTCCATAGTAATTCTTCGTCTTTTTAACTATGCATAAACTAATTTTTATCACTATGGCAAAAGCTGTTATACCCCAAACTTATCACCACCATCCTAGAATGATGCACAAGGTTAATGGGGAAGCCAGGGAGCTCTCATGGTTGTCAGCAGTACGTGCACTGGCCAACCCAAAGGTGGCACATTTGAGTGGTTAGAATACACCAGGAGATCCACAGGAGAAAGATGCAATTTACCTACTGGAGGGTCAGCTAAAGACACTTCCAACTTAATGGCAATGAGGGTTTGTTTTGTTGTAGTTGTTCAGCAGAGGAAAACAAAAATCACTGAACTTTGAAGCCTTAAAAAATATGTAAGAACAGTGCTGCTGAAGTAACTTTAAGAAACTGGATGGACACTATCTTAGGCTACATATTTATCTTCTTTTCCATATTTTTTAATATAGGTTGATATTATTACTAAATAGTCGTTATATGTTATCATTGAAACTAGTTTCCCACTTGGAAGATTTTGGGACCAGAGAAAAGAAAGTAATTGTTAATAAACACAAGTATATGGAATAGAAATTAAAAAAACTTTAGTATGTCTAGCCACTTAGAAAGACAGAGATAGCAGTATCAAATTTTATGTTAGGCCTCCAAAAACTCTCTCAAGAGAGACTCTTTACTGGATAGTGGAATTAGGATGGAAAGAGAGCGCTGTGGAAACATTGATAAAACTAACATGGAAACAGATCTTCAAGCAGAATCCCACATTCCTTCATGCCCTAACTGCTGTATGTAAAGAGCTAGAAAAGATGGCAAGAAATCAGGAGAAATGAGCATTTCATTGCTGTGAAGAAAGATTAAGGAAGCAGTGATGCATTAAAATATTTACCATTAGATATTGCAGGCCTCTCAGAGGCAATATGAAATCATTTCTAAAATTCAGTTCACTCTCTAACTTCAAAAATGCACGATTCAATGATAGCAGTTGAGAGGGGTCAACTCTTCCCATCACGTCTTTCTGATCTGGTCCGTCACCAAGGGGCACTACAATCAGCATCTTCGGATGGCAGGAGGGAAATGACCTGGCCCCCCCGCACACTCAAAACTCAATGGGGTTTCTCTGATGCCAACAGAGAAGACTAAGGTGCATCAAAGCCTACCTTGGTATGGCAAAGACAGCGAAATGGATGGGAGAGCCATTCTTAATCTTTCCGTTACCACACACCCTTGATCTCCATCACAGGTGACAGTGGAAGAGAAAAAAAGGAGAAAACCCTACACATTTACGTTTCTTCCCCTCCTCCCCCTTTTGGACAGGTGCTAGCGCCCCAGCACCGGGCCCTGGAGTTCTCTTGTCGGACAACTGTCCCGCAGAAAATGCACTCAATGAGAAATGCAACCTGGGCTAGAAAATCAGATACCCAATTAGAAATTCACGTTAAAAATCCCAATCTGGATTTACCCTTCCCCCCCCCCCCCTGTAAAACAAAACCAAAACCCGCCGCAAACTTGCCCACCATTGAGGCTCCGAGGGGCACCGACCCAGGGGGGGCTTCTCCGCCCTCCGGGAGGCGGCAGAGCACCTGGGGCGAGTTTTCGCTCCCTCGCCTCCCAGCCCGGCCCCGCCAGGCCCCTAGACTGACAGGAGGGGCTGGCCAGGCGTTGGCTGCGGGGCAGGGCGGTATTACCGCCGCAGCCCGCTCGGCTCCGGGCACCAGTAACGCAGGGCCAGGGGTATCACGGCTTAGGTGGCGGGCAAAGCCGCCAGGCGGACGAAAAGCCAGGCAGGACCCGGCAGAAGGGGCGGCGGGAGCAACAGCCGGCCTAGGCCGCAGCAGGCCGCCGAGTGGCCAGACGCTGCTTCCCGGCCGCGGCTGCGGGCCAAGAGAAGAGGTGACCATTACCTGGACGGGTTCCTGTAGCACCGTCATCCTGGAGGCTCAGGCCCACTTTCTGCAGTGCCTCAGGCCCCCCCCGCAGCGGCTCCGGCCCGGCCAGCCCCGGCTCATTTAAACTCACCAGCGACCGTTACCGGGGGATGGGGGAGGCCGAGCGATTGCCGAACCTCTCCGAGCGGGACACGGAAATACCCGAAGTGGAAAGCAGTGAGTGGGGAGCTAGGCGGAAAGAGCCGGAAGGGACCGGAAATAGTCGAGGTGAAATGACAGAGGCGGAGACTGCTGCCGGAAACTGTCGAGAGTTACCGGAGTTTACCGAGTCTGACCCAGAGCGTAGGTTCCTCTTTCCAGGCTTGCCTTCAGCCACGCACGCCACGCCCCATGGACGCCCAGTGACGGGACCACACCCAATCGGCAACCAGCGGGCGGGGCGGGGCTTGACAGAGCTGAAGGGCAGCGTTAAGTGGCGGGACCAAGGTCTTGATTCGCCAGTGAGTCTTTTCATGAACTGGTGCGCGGTAGTTTTAAGCAGAACAAAATCTTAAAACTCGACGACCGACACCTAACAACAGTTTTAAGCAGAGTAATACGGGGAGGTTACAGCTAACGTTAATTAATCAGATTTACTTCATTACATAATTTCATCCATTCTACAAATACCTCAATTTAGAGGGAAATAGGAGGAGATCTAGGGAACTCGGGTACCTTGCTGTTGTTATGTGCTGCTGTTGTTATGTGCCGTGAGTCGCCTGCGACCCTATACACAATAGCTCTGAACTCTGTCCTATCCTGAGCCAATCTTACTGTCTCCAACAAACCTGCCACATTTACTCCTGCGTCAATGCATCTCATCCAGGGTCTTTTTCTCCTGTGCTGTCCCTCCACCCTTCCAAGCATGATATCCTCCAAGGACTGGTTCCTCCTGGCAACATGCCTAAGTATGTGAGACATAGCTTCAAAGTCCTTGCCTTCAGAAAGTAACTTGGTCTCACTCTCTCTAGGAGCCGACCGACCTATTTATTCTCTTGGCAGTCTATGCTATCTATGTTCAATACTCTTCTCCAGCACCACAACTCAAAGGCATCTATTCTTCTGTCCTCCTTATTCTAGTGCCTTAATGGTAAGGAATTGCACTGTCAACGCAAAAGGTACATAGTTGGAGCCAGATCAAGAAGAATCTCAAAAGGCAGGCAGACATCTTTTATTCTTAGTAAAAGAAGCGTTCATGTCTATTGGAAAGAGATTGGGTCTTTGTTTTGGTGTTCATATCTGGTTCCAAGAAGTTCTGGATCTTTAGACAAGCCCCAATCTCTCTGAGCTTCTATTTGCTTGATCTGAGATAAGAAGAGGTGTTGTTGTTGTTATGTGCCTTCGTCGAGTCGCCTGCGACTCATAGCGACCCTATGCACAACAGCCCTAAACCCTGCTCTATCCTGTGCGCCAACCGCACTGCCTCTGACACACCCATCCCGATTACCCCAGTCACCAAATCAATCCATCTCATAGAGGGTCTTCCCCTCCTGCGCCGTCCCTCCACCCTCCCAAGCATGATGTCCCTCTCCAAGGACCCGTCCCTCCTGGCAACATGTCCAAAGTATGTCAGACGAAGCCCCAGAAGGAGACTAAATTATATGCATTAATATACGTATTGTATCCAGTCTGCATAGTAAAAAACCTACCATGTACCATTTTGTTGTCAGTTTCATCTCAACATGACCACCGATTCTGTAAATCTTTGCAGGAGACTACCTTTCTCTCTTGGAGTGTCTGGTGGTTTTTTTTAGGTTAGATTAGGTTAATTTCTAGGTTAGAGCAGCTAAAGACTGCACCAGGGTTCCTAAGTTGGAGAGGGGGAAACCCAGTAACCACTGCAGTTATAAAAAGTCAGTAAAGGTAGTTTATTCTGACATGCTGTATAAAAGAAAGAAGATAAAGAATGGGAGGATTGGACAACTGACAGGGCAGCTTTTCCCCAGACTTTATTTTTTATATCTTTTTGTTTTGTTTTTCTTTTTTCTTTCTTTCCCTCCCTCCTCCAGACTCTTCATGGTTACATCCTTCAGAAAGATCTATCCCCATTACAATATTGAAATTCTATTTACATCGAGGTGCTAAAATGGGATGCTCCTACATTTTGCCTCCTAGTTCCCTAGGTAAGAGATACTTTGATACGGGTAGTGAGCCCATGTCTACATCTTTATCAGAAACATAACATATCCATGGACAGAAAGGGGAAATACACAATAGATGTTACTAAGAGGAAAGTGCTAACTGGGTGAATTTGTTTAGTTCAAGTTAGTGGGTGATGGAAGTGTGAATGAAGCAGACCATAAGCCCATGTTTCCTTTATTTTTAGGATCTACTGTTCTTTTAAGATGCTAGTACTATATATGCCAGATGTGCAGGCTGGATTTAAAAGAGGTTATGGTACTAGGGATATTATAGTTAATGTTAGATGCATCTTGGCAGAAAGCAGAGAGTACCAGAGGAATGTCTGTGCTTCATTGACTATGCAAAGGCATTTGACTGTGTGGATCCCAACAAGCTGTGGCTGACTCTGAGAAGAATCGGAATCCCAGAACATTTGATTGTGCTTATGCAAAACCTATACTTAAACCAAGAAGCAGTCGATACTGCATGGTTCAAAATGGGGAAGGATATCTGCCAGGGATGTATTCTATCTCTATACCTTTCAATCTGTATGCAGAACAGATCATCCAGGACACTGGGCTGTACAAGAAGGAATGTGGCATCAGGACTGGTAGAAGATTAATCAACAATCTACGTTATGCAGATGACACAACCTGCTTGCTGAAACTGAGGAAGACCTGAAGCACTTGCTGCAGAAGGTCAAGAACTGCGGTCATCAATATGGATTGAAGCTCAACATCAAGAAAACAAAGATTCTCACCACTGGGCCAATTGGCAGCATCAGTATGGATGGTGAAGAGATTAACATAGTTAACAGTTTTAGTTTGCTTGGCTCCACAGTCAACACTCTTGGTACTAGCAGCCAGGAAATCAAGAGGTGAATTGCATTGGGACAGTCAGCTGTCAGGGACCTCTCCAGAGTACTGAGAAGCAAGGACATCTGGCTGGAGACTAAGGTGCGCCTCATATGGGCCATAGTTTTCACAATTGTGTGCTATGCGTTGGAGAGCTGGACAGTAACTAGGGATTAGAGAAAGATAATTGATGCCTTTGAGCTGTAGTGCTGGAGAAGAGTGTTGAATACACCATGGACTGCTAGGAGAACAAACAGGTTTGAACTTGTTTGTTCTTTTGGTACTCTGTGGGATATCCCACACTCTCTCATCACAATTCAAAGACATTGATTCTTCTGTCATCATTATTTATAGTACAATTTTCAGATAGGAAAGAATTTAAAGTAGCATGGCTTGGATCAGGCGCCTCTTAGTCTTTAACTTGACATGGTCACTCTTTTGCACTTTGGAGAGCTCCTTGACAACAGATTTTCCCAATGCAACTTGTCTTTTGATTGCTTGAGTGCTTTGAAAATTAGAGGGTTCATGAAAGGGAGAAAGATGCTCACTTAGATAGACTAGATAGATTAGTGGCACAGTGACTGCAGCAATGGACTTGAGCATTGCAGGAACCTTGAGGTTGGTGGAGGAGCATGCAAAGTTTCCATCTGTTGTTGACAGGGTGACTATGAGTCATCACTAACACAACAGCATTTAACAAAAACCATAACGATGGTGATTCATCAAGACTTGCCCTGTCTAAGACTTCTCTGACAACATGGTTTTCCAGTTTTCCTTTGCTCTGTTCCTTGTCAAAGGAGTTCTGATGACATTGGGTTTAAGGCATTTAACTGCTAGCCAAAATGTTGGTGGTTTGGACTCACCAGCCGCTCTACTAAAGAAAGATGAGGGACAGTCTGCTTCCATCAACATTTACCGCCTTGAAAACCCTATGAAATAGTTGCCCTACAAGGTTGCTACATGTGAGAATTGATTTGGTGACAGTGAGTTTGTCTTGTTTTGATTCTATTGTTTCTTTCCAGTCCCTTTAGCAACCCCTTGAATGTTAGATCTTCTGGTATCTGTTCTTGGCCTTCTCACCCTATACATTCTTCTTAGGCAAACCTATCCATTCAAGTGGCCTAAATGTCTCATCTGCAACCTTGTCTCCAGTCAGACTGCTTCTTGGAGATCTAGACCCAAGTGCCTAACTGCCACTCAGATGTTTCTATCTGGAGATTCACAAACAGGTATTTTGTTCAAAATGAAACTCCTCATTCTCCATAATGGAACTCTCTTTTTTTTTAAATCCCAGTTGAAGGATCCCTGAAGGGTTAGTGATGGTAAGAGGTTTGTTGTACAAAGAAATGTTCTAGGTACACCTGAAACACTTGAAAACAGCCTAGATCCAGTTCTAAGAGCTATTTCTTGTTAGCAGTTTTTGGAGTCTCTTACTCCTAAAGGGTTAAGTACACCAGATGTGTTCTTGCTAACAAGATCTCTGGGATGGGGGAGGAAGGGGTTTGCAAAGAGCTTTGACCTTCCCCTGGATCTTTTTTATTTACCCATTTGCTTTCTTGAGATAAGATAAGGAACACAGATCCTTGAGTAGTCAAAGATAATTTATTTCTGTAAGAATGTTTCCTATCTTACTGTACCCTGAAAAATGTGTACGTGACTTTCTTTATGTAGTCTATGTCCGCTTCTGTAAGAAAAGAGAGGACAAGACAGCTCTATTTTGCTATTTGCCTAATAAAGCTCTTGGCCCTTCTCCTTTTATCATCTCTCATGAATCTCTACCTTCTGCAACCTGCAATCACAGAACACCGGTGAACTACACCCAGTTTAAGATATCACTAGCCTTTACAGAAGTAACTCATGGTTGCTGTGATGCTAAACACTGTGACACTGATGTGCCAAATATAATAATAGTTATTCATAGTGGACAGTGTTTGGTGGAGCTTTCCAATTAAAACAAGCTTGGAAGCAGGAGTAGCATCCATTTCAGAAATGGCTTGCCTCTGGAAACTCTATGAACAGTGCTCAGGCCTTTCGTTCATAGAGTCCCTATGAGTCTTCTACGACTCGACGGCACCTAACA